ATTATATTATATTATATTATATATTATATATATATATATATATATATATATATATAGATATGTATATATGTATAATGTATGTATCAATTTGTTAAATTTATATTAATAATAATTAATACCTTTTCAATGTCATGGAATAATATATAAAATATGTGTAATTAATTGCTGATATGGTTAACAATTGTACATTGTATGTTAAAATATTTGCATTATTTGATAAAAAATAACAACAGGCCACTCGAAATTTATTACATTATATTATTATATTCTATATATATATATATATATATATATATATATATATATATATATTTATATATATTTATAGACATAAATATACATATATATATATATATATATTATAATATATATATATATATATATATATATATATATATATACAAAATTTTTAAAATTTATTGTAAAAATAGTAAAACTTAGTTGATGGCATGTTTTACTGGTGTGTTTTAACTCATACAGAGAACGGAAAGTAAAAACACTGTAATTAACTTGTCTTAATGGTATGCAACATATTATACATAGAGGGGTAATTTATGTATAAATATTTATTTTATTTTTTGTGTTTTTCTAGTAAATAACAATAAATGTTGCTTAATTTGTCTATGTCAGACTTTTTATCAATGCAAGATGTGCTAGATTTTATGAAACACATTTCCAAAAAAAAAGGATTTGAATGGTTCTTCTCTTTTGCTAAAAAGGCCAATTCCTTGAAAAAGAAATAAAACCATTCCGAAAGCTCGACAAAAAGTCAAAAGAGTGTATTTTTTTAATAACATCCCGGCCAATATTCTAACTGCAACCCTAATAAACTGTGTTGTTTGTTTATATCGACAGTAATATCCAGTATTTCTTATATATATATATATATATATATATATATATATATAGAGGTATTTTATAACATAAAAAAAATTGTCACTCCTTTCATCCCTTTCACTTGACCCCTCAGATTTTTTAAATATCAATGGAGGTCGTGCGACAGTTCGTTGGAAAGGGTTTGAAAAGAAGAATTCAAAAATGTAGAAGTTTTAAATTTTGTACGGCATAATGGTTTTATTTAAAATAAAATATACAAAAAATAATGTATTAAATTACATCTTTAAAATTAAAGGAACTGGCAAATTATCCTAAAGAAAACTTAGATTACTGCAGGAGATGCTCGAAATGTTTTCCATTTACTTCCTACTTAATCAAAAGCTACCAAACTAAAAGTCACATATAGAAGAATTGGGCGATCCATCTTAGAAATAACTCTGCGAGACAAAATATAAAACAAAGAGGTCAGGAGAATATCCAATGTCTCTGACGTTATTGAAAGAATTGCGAGACTAAAATGGAGATGGCCAGGACACATAGCTAAAATAACGGATAGACGATGGTCAAGGAGGCTATTGGAATGGGGACCAAGGGAAGGCAATAGAAAAATCGATTGACCATTTATACGATGGGTTGACCATTTAAAAAGACAAAATAAAAATTGAATGGACGTGGAGCAATGTAGATGGCGTTGGAAACATGAGAAAGAGGCCCATGTTTAGGCCAATGATAATAACTAAGCAACGATATAGGTTTATAATTATTTAGATCGCATTTGTGCCGTTTTTTGTCTAGGAGCATTACTAGACTCTCGTTCCAGCCTTTTTTGGATTTACTGCTATGAAGACATCTATAAAATAGCTCTGTTAGTATTAATATTGTTATTTTCTTGCGTATTTTTAAAATCTCGGTAATCTACCGTCGTTTTCCGGAGCTCTATTATTTTTTATTTTTCTTATTTTTCTCTTGACGTTCTCTTTTGTTTGTTTATTATGCTGAACTTTCCTTTCTTGTTATTGCTGTTTTACATTTTGATAACATTATGAACATCCAGTATTGTTCTTAAAAATTGTTGTTTTCTATAACTTGCTCTATTATTGGTGTTCTTTTTTATAACTTGTACTCGTTAAATTTTTGATGTCACATTATAGTTCCTTTCTAATTGGCTTATTAAGAAGGTTCTTATTTATGTTTTTGTTGACTTCGTTAATTTGGTCCTGATTATGTGAAAAATCTCATTCCCACTTACTGGTTAAGATTGCTTGGAATTCTTCTCCATAACCCATTTTCTGTTTGTTATCGTGTTGTATTTATTTTTGTCCTAACTATACGATGATCGCTGCCAGTTGTTACGTTGTTTATTGTTGTGACATCTTTAAATATCCTTTTGTTGTTCGAAAAAAAAATCTATTTCATATTTGGTGTTTCCATGAAGTGCAATTCATAGAAGGTGTTTATAGCATACATGTTTTCTAATTCCTGGAATTTCATGAGTTTTTCTCGTCTTGTATTTCTTGTGCCGAATTATAAATGTTCATTCTTGGTTTTAACCTGTTTCATCATTTTTACAATTTTGGTGATAAAATTATTATTATTTTAGATTCTATTTGTTGTCTGTAGCTATTTTAATGTGTACCTAAAAAGTATGTATTTCATCGTCAGTTTCATCGTTAACATTACTGGACCATGCGGTGTCAGAACAAGTAGCCAGTAGCTCTTTATTGATATGAGTTTTATTTCCTCTTTAATAGAATCTAAGCATTGATGAGCTGATAAGACCTAGTGGCGAAAGGCATCACATCCTGGGCTATGCAAATGACTTGGTCATCTTAGTTTTATGGCAAATTTAATGGCACGGTCAGAGATAGAACGTAACAGACTCTGACTGTAGCTACAAAACGGACTTCAAATGTAAAGAAAAGTCCAAAATCAGGTATGTTAATAGTTTATCAGTGGTACGGGGCCAAACATGCAGTTAAAAGATCACATCCTTAAACTAAGCATAGCTTGCATCCGACTCACGATAACTGTGGAGATCTTGCTGGACCTTCTACCCTCTATACATAACTGTATGGGAGGAGGTGAGAATAGGGTATTATAAACTACGAGAAAACCTGGGCAATGTATCTGTTAAATCAGAGTAACATCATAAATCTATATTGGAATCAAACAGCCCACATGAAGAATGGACATATGGTGAGTGAAAACATAACCATTTCTAGAGGGGTAAGACAGGGCTGTATTCTTTCGCCACTGCTTTTTAACCTGTACACGGAACAAATATTTCTAGAGGCACTAGAAGAGTACAATGAGGGCATCAAGATTAATGGCGTACCAATAAGTAATTTTCGATATGCAGATGATACTATTATACTGGCCGATAACATCGAAGATTTACAGATGATGCTACATAGAGTTAATACAACTGGCAGCCGATTTGGACTGAAGATCAATAGAAAGAAAACTAAATTTATGGTGATCAGTAAAAAAAAATTTCAACATATCGACCTGCATATTGAAGACGAACGTATTGAAAGAGTACACCGATTTAAATATCTGGGATATACAGTAAATGACAAGTGGGACCCAGAAGTAGAGATTAAGATCCGAATTGAAATAGCAAGATCCAAATTCATCAAAATGAGAAAGCTCTTAAGCAACCGCAACCTAAGCATTAACCTCCGATGGCGCGCCACGAAATGCTACGTACTCTCTACGCTACTTTACGGCGTAGAAGGGTGGACGTTAACAGCAGCAACTATAAAGAAGTTAGCGGCTCTAGAAATGTGGCTGTATCGATGCATACTGAGAATACCTTGGACAGACAGAGTGACCAACACAGAGGTATTAAGACGAATGGGTAAAGAGGTGGAATTGTTAACAACTGTTAAAAGGAGGAAAGCGTCATACTTGGGCCATGTGTTCCGTAATGATAAGTACAGTCTGCTACAGCTTATCGTGGAAGGCAAGATTGAAGGTAGAAGGGGTTTGGGCAGAAAGAAGAAATCCTGGCTGAGAAACTTGAGAGAATGGTTTCAAATACCAGAAGCTGCGAACATAATTCATGCGGTACAAAACAGAGAAACCTATCGTATGATGGTCGCCAGCCTTCGGTAGAAGACGGCACATAAAGAAGAAGAACATCATAAATGTAATTAGGGATACCGAATGTATGATCATTTCTGACCATACGATACCCAGGTATTAAAATAAATTACATTTCCAAGTGAGCATGTGCACACAAGAGGGATGGGGCAAAGAAAACACTCGACCCATACGGCAGTGTTATATGTAGAATACATACTTGTCTAAAACTGCAGATGGGTAGAGTACAGGAATATTCGGTAGGGGTTGGAAATTTGAACATTTTAATTCCATTGAAGACTAAACCTCTATATTTCAGGCAACCAATTTTGAAATTTTAAAGTGAGCAGGATTAAATGCACAAATAGTCTTACTATGAAAAACATCAGCTATAAAATATCTTAGTTTAAAACCGGCCGTGGGGTGCCAATAAACATTTTCTGCGACCGAAGAAAATCCTGGATCTGAAGACAACGTAACTCTCAATGGGAAAATACAAGGTTAAGCTCATATCAGAATGTATATTGGATAGTCACATGCTAATAGGGGTGAAGTATTGCGAAAAACAAGTAGAAATCAGCTCAGAGTCACAACAGACTTTCTTAATGGACTTTCTCTAATTTGCGTTGGCCGCGAACATTTTTTTAACCAATTAAGTCCAAAAATATATGGTACTAATACAGTAGACCTATACAAGCTGGTACAGCGGTCCAGAATCCTTGAATGGGTAATCAAAGATTAAGGATATGCAATATGTGAATTGGCTGCAGTACGACTGACTATCACGAAAAAAAAACTAAAAACACGTTTGGTTTTTAATCCAAATTACACTAAAATATCACTTTAATTTCGTAACAACTGTACTTTTGGCCAAAACAATCCTGGTATCTCTCTTTATCTTAAATTTCGTTTACGCTTAAAAATTTATAATTCTGGGTAATTATATAGCGCAAGTCGACAGTAGTTACCTAATAATCAACCAATTTAATTAGTCGAATATTTTATTATGTATACTTGATATATCTATTGAAATATCTATTATTTCGAATATATAAAATAAGACCGTCGTCGTTTTAATTGAATCAGTTGCGGTGTGAAAAGTCGAGTGGCAACATGTGGAGTTTTTTGTGTCTAGTGTTCGTTATTTTCAGAGTGGGGTAAATTGATTTATAGCTTCATTTGTTACAGAAACCGATTTTTTGTCCTCGAAATTCAGAAAAATTGTAACGCTATAAATTCTCGTCAAAGAAAAGAAATATATCGAGATCATAAAAGTATATTTCGTCATTTACAATGTACATAAGTTTAATATGTTTTAAACTTTTTAACCTTTTTAACCACTTAAAATATTTTACACATTATAACATGTTAGAATTAAAGAATTAGGTTTTTATTAGTGAATGTTACCTATTTTATTATAATAATATTAGTAATATTTTTATTAAACTGATAAGATTATTGGCAATTTTTGTAAATTACAAAATATACTATTTATACAAAAATAAATACAAATATACAAAGTCACAAAGACTAGTCTTAGTTATAGAAAGACACAGAAACAGTCTTGTTGTTGAATTCAAAAAATTTAAACATCCATAGATTTAAAAATCTAAATAAGACACTAGGGAAATAGGATTTTTTTCGTAATCCTGACCCGTAACACTTTCGTAACAACAACAGTTGTTTTGAGTTTTGACTTCTGTAACAAAAACTTACATGTTTTCTGGATTCAATTTTTTGAACTTAGTTGTTAACAAATGAACGTCAACAAAACGTAAATGTTCTCTTGATTCGTGTATCAGCAAAAAGTAAGGCATTTAAAATAAATTTAAGAGTAATAAACTTATGTCATATAAAAACGTGCAAATGGCGTTTTTTAAATGTTTTTCCCTTATTTGTTGCTTACAAAGTAAAAATAAATGGTAAAATAAATCTGAAATTTTGCTTTTACCATTTAATACATTTCTTTAATACCTTTTTTAAAATTTGTTTCATAAATTTTAATATTTTATATATTTTATAAGTTTAAAAGTTATTTTATTTACTTATCTCAAATTAAATATTTTTTCAACAATATAAATAAGAAACTGATTAAATTTACAGTAATTCTACGAATAGGTTATGATATAACAGGGCTCATTTTATCAACATTTATATATGATTTATTTGCTTGTAAACAACGGCAATAACTTTTTAACCAGACAAACCTTTTTTTTTTCATATTTTGACAGCTTTTATTTTTCTACAAATTTAAAAAAAAAAGTTTTTTTAGGACAATTTTACAATTTACAATTTCTCGGCGTTTACACAGCACTTCAAATTTTCCATAACACTAGTATACACAATAAACTGCACCTTGCAACTAAAGTACCTACTTTTAGTGAATTGTTAAGAATTTTTAATACGCCACTTGGACCTTCCTACAAAATGGAAAAACCCACTATCACATTTTCTGTGCAATAAGTTTAGAAGGTAATTATCTAGTCAATTACTGTCGTAAATTCCTGGAATTAAAGAATTAAATGTTTGATTGTTGAAACCCTTACTTCGTGGAATGCACTCATTTTAGATAAAATAAAACGTTTTATTTTATCTAAAGAATTAAACTTTATTTTGCAAATAGGTAGGTACTTATTAAACTTTTATTGGTTATATATAACCAATAAAATAAACATCTTACATTTCTTGCAAATTCATTAGTACCTGTTAACCTCCATCACTCCGACACTGGCAACCTTATTTAGGGATTAGTAACCCTCAGAACTATTGTATTCTATTCTGCTCCAACCTTTATACCTGGTGGTCATACTCAATTTAAAATTGTTTTTCTATATACTTCTGTAAACTTTTTGACAAATATCTGTTTTTCATTGAGTCACCCGTATCAACAGTTTAGGGATTTGCATACATAATTTATTGTTTTATTACTCTCTAATACATAAAAATACACTATAAACATGAACTATAATTAGCCTTATCCTCCTATAGAAGCAATGCAGCAGGCCCTGATAATATCTCATACATTTTCTTAAAAAAACTCTTCTGTCTCCCTTTGCAAACTACTGGATTTTTATATTCTTGTATAGAATTTTTGTTATAATTAATTGTGGTTTAAAAAGATTTTTAGTACTTTATAAACTATTTTCTGTAAAATTTCTGATTTTCAAACAAAGTGATCAAAACCAATCTCCTATTTTAAAATTTGCGTTAATTCGCATTTGTATTTTATAAAAGTGAAATTTCACACGAAAATATTTTTATTACCATTTAAAGGTACTACTTTATAAAGCTATCAATTACTCGGTATGAGATCCTCCGTAATAAAAAATCGTGTCTAGACCATATTATTAAGACAAAAACATCCACCTGTTACTCCCCTCACAAAATACGAGACACAAAATCGATGCTATACATTACAGTGCTTTATGCAGAAAACAGATAGGCGGGATTATAAAGTGATATCCATCCTGAAGTCACAATAATAAGGCCGATATTTATTTCGAACGCAGTTAAAAGTAAATATTTGACAGTAAAAAATATATATCACGTTGTAACTCGTTCTAAAATTTATTAGTTTTTTAAATGATAAAATCACAGTTTTAAATAATTTTTGTTCCTTTTAACACATAAATATAGTGTAATCTCCAAGTCAACCTTTTTTTTATTTACCGTATTGCCAGATTCCAGTAAGAGCCTAAGAAGGTATCCATTGACTTGTGGTGATTGAGGCAACGGTGGGGGAAATCTTTTTAGACATCTACGTCACGGAATAAGAAACCCTGACATCTTTCGGAAGAGTAGGATACAGGTCAGAATACCCCAGAGTATTGCTGGATTAACCGTGTTCCGGCAAAAACCTTAACCACCATTCCAGAGAGGTGGTCTTGCCACTCAATGAACAATTAAAATAAAAAACTAAAAATTTATAAATAACCATACCTATTACCGTAAATCAGAAAATGTTTCAGACGTTAGGCCATTAACTAATAAATAATATTGACCATAAATTTCAGATCCCTGGCTCAGCTTCCTTCTCTATCCTCCTGCTCCTTTTTCTTCATCATTCCAGAAATCAGACAGTACACTTCTCTCCATTTTTTTTCTCTCCTATCAACATTATATTTACAATGTTGCTTTCATTCAGCCCGAAACCTATTCACCTAGTAGTAATATTTCATTGTGTTTAATACATTTATTTAAACATACTTATTAACAAAGTCTCTAGGAATCAACAATGTCCAAAAACCTATGATCTAACAATCATCTTGACAAATCGTGACAACTGACAACAACGAGTCTCCATACATTGTGCCTAGAGCCCCGTGACCGTAATCATAACCTACTGATATGACATATTTCCCCTTACATTTGATAATCCTTAAAACGCACTGGAGCCCTTTTGAGTTTAGCGCTAGTTCTATTTTCAGCATTCATTTGGGAGGTTGAAGGTTCCTCTACTCCACAACTCTGGTTCCCAGATGAGGAGTTTAATGATCTATCATTATGTGCAAAATCAGTATTCTTCTTAATTTCCGCTTTAATTAGGGAAGGCCTTAAGTGATAACTGTTTCGCCTGATCACTTCCCCATTTTATTTCTGCACTAAATAAGATCTGGGTGCCTCATCTACTCTTTTCAAGAACTTTACCTGGTCTCCATTCTCTACCCTCTCTGACACCTACAGTCTCTCCTGGCACTATTTCTCTTCTTAGCTTGGTGTTTCTATCATAATAATTTTATATTTGTTTCTTTTTGCCTCTAGTTTCTCCCACTCATCCTTTAGATTTATGTCTTTGTGCTTTTTATTTGATGGTAGCTTCGATCTAAGATCCCTGTTAGTTATTGCGATCCTCCAGGAGTGCCATATCTAAGTCGTCACACTTTCTAAACATGTTTTTTGCAATTAGAACGGCTCGTTCTGCCTGCCCATTAGACCGTGGATAGCGGGGACTGGACGTTACAAACCGAAAATCCCAGTCTTTAGCAAATTGCTGGCAATGCCACGAATTATAAGGCATGTTATCTGATATGACTTCGTAAGGTATTCCGTGTGTTCAAAAAATTGAGAAGTTTTTGAATTAATTTTCACTATATAAAAATAATCGATCAGAACTAGATATGACTGTCCACCATAATCTAATATATCACTTGCTACCTTTTCAAAAGGTGCTTGAGATAACTCTCTAAGTAATAGTGGCTCTTTAGCATTGTGACTTTTAAATATCTCACACTTGTTACAATTTCTTACCCAGTCTTTTATACTTTTGTTCATTTGTGACCAATGTAATATCTGTCTTGCTCTCTTTTGGGTTTTCTGAATGCCAAAATGACTAGAATGCAATAATCTTAGCATGCTCTCTCTCAATATTTTTGGGACTACAACTCTGTCTTTGTAAAATATTAGTCCGTCAAGTAAATATAGTTCATTTCTTATATAATAATAATACCTAATTGAATCGCTTACTCTTGACAGGGTTTTGGGCCACCCTTGTATACAATATTTTTTTACTAGTTTCAGATCCTCATCAGCATCCACTTCAGTCCTAAATTGCTCTCTCTTCTCATCAGTCATGTCAATAGTATGAACTATTTCTGTAATAAATTTATCATCATCCACTTCATCTTTTATAAAATTCCTCGATAATAAATCTGCCACATGCATGAACTTGCCTGGCTTAAATTTTACCTCTATGTCATATTTAGATAATTTTACCCTAATCCTTTGTAATCTCGGCGACATTATGTCTGCAATGCCTTTATGCATTAATGCCTCCAAAGGCTTATGGTCAGAATCAATTTGCACTTTTCTTCCATAGATAAAATTGTGAAATTTATTGCATGCATATAGGATTGCCAAGAACTCCTTTTCAATTTGACTCATATTTGACTCTGCTGTTGTCAGCGCCCTAGATGCAAATGCTTCTGGTCTGTTATTCTGTAAGAGACAGCACCCCAATCCATTACTACTACTGTCAGTCTGTATCACATTTGGTAACTTCTCATTGAAATTGGCAAGCACACTACTTGACATAATTACTTCTTTTATTTTATTTAGTGCTTCAGAATGTCTATATGTCCATACCCATGCATTCCTTTTTTTTAAGAGCTCTCTTAAGGGCGTAGAAATCTCTGACAAGTTTGGAATGAATGCCCTTAAA